AACTCCCTCCAAAAAAAGAGCCAATGCTACTAACTACACTTCCTTTGCCTGGATACCTTGAACAGGCCAGTTTTAGCTTTTCTATTTTAAAACATGATTTTGTGATATATAGTATATCACTCTCAGTTGTGGGGTTTTTTTAATTTTTAATGCATTTGAGTCTTATATTTATTAATGAGATTATATTAAATTGAAAATATTTAGTTACAATTGAGAGCAATTTTTTTAAAGCTTTAAAATAACAGATGTTTGTAGCTTTATTTGGAAAAAATACAAGACCATCAGAGGGGGATAATAAGCTGCAGTATTATATGATAGATTTTCTGACTTAGTTGTTTATCATATCTTGTAAAGTACATTTTGGTTTGACTTTTAACACCAGGATAGACACAAGCTTACTTGGAAAAATTTAAGAGTAGTTTGATACACTTTGACACATGAATAAATAAAAAAATGATTCATAGTCACAGCCCTCCCTACTTTATGCTAATTTGTTATTTTCTACTATTCACCAACTTAGGATATATGCGTTACAACAGGATAAGACATTGCTCAAGATTTCTTTAATGGTGTTTTAAACCTATTTTATTTCTTTAGGGAGTAGCAACTTCTCTAATAAAAGCTCTGCATGAAGTTGGCAGCCTTAAGCCAAAGTTTCCATTCCTAAGTGTGAAAGAAACTGCTCTGCTTTTTGTCTCCTTCCATCTAAAAGGTAGTGTATAAAATAGCATGCTATAAAAATAACTAATTGTATAAATGACATAAGTCCTCTGATACAATATAGATAGCCAATTAGAGTTCATATTTGCTTTTTTTTAGAATTTTCTGTTTGGGTTTTTTTCAGCCAGAGATATCAGTTGCATGTAATAATCTTTAATAGTTTGCAGTCAGCTTAATTATTGCCACCTTTCTCAGTTTCAATGTCCTTGCTTGCAGCTCTGCTATAGCTTTGGGCTGGTTTCTAGTACTGCTGGAGATTTCTGGAGCAAGACTGATATTTCTTTCAACCCACCACTTTTGCCATTCATAAGCCAACCAGTTCACTGAGTGAACTTCACCTGGCCTTTTGTATTTTACATTTTTAATTATTATTTTAGATAATACCAATCTTAATTATTTTTTTGAAGCTCTTCACATCCTGTGCTTCCTCATGTTTCCAGAGCCCTCCAGAATTTTCTTGAACTGTCAGAGACTTTTTTGCTAGCACAGCTTTGTTAAGGAAGACCATTGAACAGGGCAGGCACATGGTAAGCCCCTGCATAAATGTGCAATTCCTAAGCCACCAAACTGTTTTTATGCTGTAGTTTGCTTCATTCACAAAGGTTGTTTTCATTCTACTGTTAGCATGGCTTTGCAAACATAAGGATGCCCATGCTAGGAATGCTTTGCTCATATATTGCAACATTAAATCATTATTAGCAGTGGATAATGAACCAGAAGGGTTACGCAAGTGAAGAAATCTCTTCTTCTCATGCAGTGCCAAAAGTTTGACCATAGGAATCCAGGAAAACTGGTTGTCTTCTTCTAGCACTGGGTAGGACTGCTTCCAGCTTTAAAATACAGCATCCCCACATACTGACAAATCACTTGAACATGAGGAAGAACTTCTTTCATGTGCTAGTGACCAAACACTGGAACATATTTCCTAGAGAAGTTGTGGAGTTTTCATCAGTGGAAACATTCAAGAACCATCTGGACACAATCCTGTGCCATGTGCTCTGGGGTGACCCTGCTTAAACAGGGAGGATGTCCCAGATGATCCAATGTCGTCCCTTCCAGTCTGACCCATCTTGTGATTTTGTGATTAGTTGCAAAACCAGAATTATTTATTATTGTACATCTCTTCAGAGTAGTCATGCCATTCTTGATAAAAAAATTTGATCGAAGTGCCTTAAGTTGTGGTCCCCTGGAAATTTATTTCATCCTATTTCTATGTGAAGTTGGACCTTCTCATCTTCAATTAACATCATTCTCTAATCTCACATTTAAATAGGGGATAAGAAGCAAGAGTTTAGTTCCTGCTAAGGAACTAAAGCTCCTTCAGCTTCTCTCACAACACTAGATTGCTTTCAGTATCTGAGAAAGTACAGGCAATGAACCAAAAATGCAGAGAGATTTATTTACTCCTGGAAAGAGAGTAGTAAACCTATATCACTAGAGAGATTGAGTGTCCTTCAGGCTGGACTCCTGTAAGGGCTGTATTCAGAGCTATGCTTGAAAAATCTCTTAGAAACTGTTAAATGTAGCTGTCTACAGTTTAAAGCTAGTGGGCTGAAGTGTCTCATAGCATAGTTCTTCATGCTGTCCAGTTTTTGTAATAAGATATAAAAAACTGTCCATAAGAAAAAAAACCAGTTATGATTAGTCTCACTCCTTCCCCTTTGCCTTGTAACAATTAAAATAATAAACTGTACTCTGAGGACTGGCACTCGATACTAGTGTATGCCAAAATAGGGCTTAGGACAGAGAGAAACCTTCCTTCCTCCTCCAAACTACTGGTCAGCTCTTCACAGACTCATGGAATCACAGATTATGCTGAGTTGGAAGAGACCACAGCGATCATTGAGTCCAGCTCCTGGCACTGCACAAGACCATACTCAAGATCCAATGTCCTGGAGAGTATTGTCCAAACGCTTCTTGAATGCTGTCAGGCTTGGTACTGTGACCACTTCCCTGGGGAGTCTGTGCCTGTACCAAACCACTCAACCCAGTGAAGAACCCCTTCCTGATTGGTGAGCCAGTTGCTCACCCATGGCATGATGTGTTTATCCAGCTGTGTGCCTGACATTTTGTCCAGAAGGATACTGTGAAATAAAATGTTGAAAGCTTTACTGAAATTAAAAACTATTACATCAACTGGTGTCCCTTGGTCAACTAGGTGGATTATTACCTTGTCATACAAGGAAATCAGGTTTGATAAGCAGGACTTTTCTGTCATGAAGCCATGTTGGTCACAGTCCTGCTTATCAAACCTGACTTCCTTGTATGAAAAGGTAGCCCACCTTATAGGCAAAGCATTTAGGTCATAGAACACCTGTGCCAAGGACACAATGGTCCAGCGTGAGCCACACCAGACCTGGGCTATCCCCAGGATGTGCCACTTCAGGTTGTGTGCCACACTACCCAAATCTGTCACTGCCTGGAGTTTCACCAGTATCTCAGGGTCTGAGAAATGAGAAGTTGACAGCAGCTGGGCATGTTTGTTGTGTCTTCTTTTAGAAAAGCCTGATCCTTCTGATTATCATGACTATTTGGAGTCAGGAACTTTTTGAAATACCAGACTTGATCTTTTTGGCTTGGCAGCAGCAGTCAAGGTGTTTATCTGTACCATGGGTAATGCTAACAGAGGTAGACTTAGTTCCTTTGAAAATGTCTGTAATGTAATTCCACAAAGTTTATAGGAAACACTAACAAACTGCTTAAATTCTTGCAGCACACAACCCCCGGAGCTCAGAGCCAGTGCGGCAGATGTACAGGAAGAAGCTGTTGCAGTTCGTGGAGCACTGCCAACTTATCCCCTACCTGGGGACTGCCATGATGGGCCCGTATAAGGAGCCAAGAGATCGGCCCCGTGGCTTTGATGACAGACTGCAGATGTTTTTTTCCCTGAAAGGCACCCGCCCCACTTTTGTGTGAACCCTGTATTTCCACTGATTAACACATGGAGTGCTGCCATCAACACCAGCATGGCTGCAACATGGCCTGCGAACATCACACATTCTCGGGCCAGTTTTTTAACCAAGAAATCTTAGAAATAAAATCTTTTGTCTGAAGTTGAGAGATATCAAGCTACTAGAGAGCGTCCAGAGGAAGGCTATGACAATAGTGAAAGCCCTTGAGGGGAAGCCATGTGTTGAGCAGCTGAGATCACTTGGTCTGGAGAGTTCAGCCTGGAGAGTGAAGGGACACCTCATTGCAGTCTACAACTCCCTTGTTAGTGGAAGAGCAGGGGTAGACACTGATCTCTTCTCTGTGGCGCCCATTGACAGTTTGCGAGGGAATGGCCTGAAGTTGTGCCAGGGGAGGATTTATTTAAATATTAGGAAAAGGTTTTTCACCCAGAGGGTGGTTGGGCTCTGAAACAGGCTCCCTATGGAAGTGGTCACAGCACCAAGCCTGACAGAGTTCAAGAAAAGCATTTGGCAACGCTCTTTGGTACACGGTGTGATGTTGGGCGCTGTTCTGCGCAGGGCCGGCAGCTGGAACCGGATGATCCGTGCGGGCCCCTTCCCACCCGGCTGTTCTGTGATTCTGTGGCCCCAAGTCCCGCCCGTGTTGCGCTCATTGCGGCAGCGCAGGCGCGGTGCCAGCCCCGGCCCGTCCAGCCTCTTTCAGGCATCAGCCTGCTCTGGTGTGTGGGATTCTCCAGGGGCTGCAGGTGGACCTGTGCTCCACCATGGACCTCCATGGGCTGCAGGGGCACAGCTACCTCCCCATGGTCTGTGCTAGTGGCTGTGGGGGAATCTCTGCTCTGGCACCTGGAGCACCTCCTGCCCCTCCTTCTCCACTCACCTTGGTGTCTGCAGGGCTGCTGTTCCCACATATTCTCGCTCCTCTCTCCAGCGGCAGTTGTGCACGTTTCTTTCTGCGCTATTAGATCTGTTATCCCAGAGGTGATACCACCATCAGCTGATGGGTTTAGCCTTGGCCAGCAGTGGGTCCATCTTGGAACCAGCTGGTGTTGGCTTTGTAGGACATTGGGGAAGCTTCTGACAGCTTCTCGCAGAAGCCACCCATGTAACTGCCCGGCTACCAAAGCCTTGCCATGCAAAGCCAGTGCTGTACTAAGGAGCTGTGACCAAGGAATTGTTCCTGTCTGATTGTTTTAGTTTCAGAAGCTGGGATAGCAATTTTTTTTAGATAATACAGGGTTCACAGTACATCAGAGATTAAAAAAAAAAAAAAGATAGGCAGTAATTGTGATCTAAAAAACTATCTAGCCTTTTCATAGGATTTTAAAATACTTTCTGAAGAAATTCCGTGTCAGCAATAGTGTTGATTTTTCAAAAACTCAGAGGATTCAGAATTGCTTCAGACACTCTTGAACTCTATTACTGGTATAACAAATGATATTTGGGTCTTATAATGCCAACTGTTAAAATAATTCTTTACTAAAGCTATTCTGTTTTTTCTAGGCACCTCCTTTAATATTTGTAATTAAAATGGCAAAAACAGCTGATCCTTCTGAGAAACTGATCATCCACTCCAAAGCTCACAAAGATACCATTCTAGCTAATTTTGAGGAACAAAGGAAAAAGGATTTTCTTTGTGACATTACTCTGATAGTGGAGAATGTGCAATTCAGAGCCCATAAAGCTTTGTTGGCTGCCAGTAGTGAGTACTTCTCAATGATGTTTGTAAATGAGGGTGAAATAGGGCAGTCAGTTTACATGTTGGAGGGTATGGTTGCAGACACCTTTGGAGTTCTGCTAGAATTTATTTACACTGGTTGCCTCTGTGCCAGTGAGAAAAACACAGAACAAATCCTGGCTACTGCAGAGCTGCTGAAAGTAACTGACTTGGTATGGGCCTGTACAGACTACCTGGAAAGCCGCAGCCCAGGTAGTGCATTGCCAGCTCCAGCTGAAAGTGTTGCCTCTGTTGTTGCAAGTGACAGGAAAAATGATGATCCACCAAAGCGAAAACGGGGGCGACCAAGGAAAATCAAGGTTGTCCAGGAAGAAGAAGAAGAAGAATCAGTAGCAAATTCTGCTGAAGATGGGCAGCTGAGAGAGAACAACTCCATGCAAAATGAACAAAATTATATGAAAAAAGACACTGAAGTAGAAGAAACAGTTGCCAGTGAACAGGCTTCAGTGAGGAAAGATGGAGAAGAAATTGAACCTGCTTGTGGCTCAGAGGCTGCTGTTGATCTGTCAGCTGAGAAAGATGAAAACTATGATCCCAAATCTGAAGGAATACAGAGCACTCAGAGCCGTTACAGCAAACGTAGAATAAGGAGATCAATCAAACTAAAAGATTATAAACTTCTTGGGGATGAGGATGAGAAGGGACTGGCAAAGAGAACTGATGGAAAAAGAAAACGTGTGGGTTCTGAAGCTCGCTGTAAAGACTGTGGCAAAGTATTTAAGTACAATCACTTCTTGGCTATTCACCAGCGAAGCCATACAGGTAGGCCTTCACAGACTGCTGCTATTGGGCTAGGTTAGGGGATGTTGCCAAACGCAAGTGACTCTTTTAGTGTTGGTTGTGGACTACAGCAAGAATATCCAAAATAGCGTGCTGGTCCAAATTACGGTGTGTTCTCTGTTTGCTGTTTTATTCTTGTCAGCAGATCTCAGAACCTTTATGTCTCACCTAGATTTCAGGGTAATTAACAATTTCATTGTTTAAGCACTGAGTTATATGGCAATAGCTAAAGAATTCTTTTATTCCTGTGTGATGCTTGCCTCTTTACCACTAATCGAGACTAATTTTTTCAGTAGCTACAACACTGCAGTGCATCTCACTATCAGCTTAGAATATCTAGTGAAAAATTCTGCATCTATTCCTAAAAATGCCATCTTTTGCTTTCAGGAGAGCGCCCTTTTAAATGCAGTGAGTGTGGCAAAGGCTTTTCCCAGAAGCATTCTCTTCAAGTCCATGAGCGGATGCACACCGGGGAGCGGCCGTACACGTGCACCATTTGCAGTAAGGCTCTGACAACAAAGCATTCTCTTCTGGAGCACATGAGCTTACATTCAGGTAAATACTTCAAGGCAAATGTAGCTCTCTGCTGCAGGAATTTGCCTTTCTGAAAAAAAGGTACTTCTGGTCCGTCTTATGTGTGCTGGTTCCACTCATAAGTCACGTTCCACTGAGGGAAACTGTGAGGAGTTCTTTAAAATGGATGGTCAGGAGCAAAATAATGTCAAACGAGACAAACTTTGTATCTGAGAATCTTTTATTGGTAATGAAAACAAACTGAAAAGAGGTTATCCTACTAAAGAGAGCTAGAAAGGACAGAACAAGAGGAAGAAAAATGGGAGAGGAATGGGATGAGAGAGAGGGGAGACAGAGGGAAAAAGAGGGCTTTACCACCAGAGGTCGGGGAGTGCCATCCATGTCCACGAGGTGGGGGGTGTGCACACTGCATGCTGAGCATGGCTCCTGTGGTGACAGATGGCAGAGGCCCAGAGCCCTGGGCCAGAACCCTGGACACACTTGTGGTAAGGATCACAGCAGTGGGCTGGCTCGGAGGTGGGTGGGGTTGGATGCTGGCACGAGGCAGGTAGGGAGTTGGTCAGGGACACGGGGAGGCAGGATAGATTGAGGGCGAGTAAGAGCCAGCGAGGGCAGGGGAGCCAAAAGGCAGGCTAGGGCCAGGGAAAAAGCATAAAACTAAAGAAGCCCTGACTCAAAAGCAAGTTTCAAAAAGTCCCTTGAATCACCAAGCTGCAAAAGCACAGTCTCAAAAAACCCCCAAGCCAAAAGCTCAACTCAAAAAGCAAGTTCAAAAATCCTCGGTGCTTGTGATGCAGTTACATTTCATGGCCCAGCTCCTCCCAAAGTCTGCCTGCTGGCAGGAGACCGCTGGCCCAGTCCAATATCCCAGTGCAGTCCATTGGCAGACACCTTTTGCCATCTGACTGGAGGGTGTCTCTGGGGTACAGTGTCTTCAGTGTTCCCCTGCTGACTGCCTGTCCCATGTGAGACATGAACTGGTTGCCAGGAAAAGTCTCCCCAGAGACAAGGCTTTCCTCCGTCTTTTCCTAGGTGCTTCCTGGACATGGCACATGTACAACCCCTCTCCCATGTGCCTCTGACAACCATTGTTGAGGCAAATCAAAACTGAACTGGCTCCTCACAGCTGACTTTTGTATTTTATTTATTTCCTTATGCTTGCTTTGGACGTGGCTTACATTATAATAAGTGATTTTCTCTACAGGGCAGAAGTCTTTTACCTGCGATCAGTGTGGGAAGTACTTCAGCCAAAAGAGACAGCTCAAGAGCCACTATCGACTACACACAGGTATAACAAGTTTAGGTTAAGGACTTGGCTTAGGATCCATGCTGATTTGTCTTTCTAAAGATTGACTTAAGCTGAAAGTTCTTCCTCAGTTACAGATTTAGTCTGCTACCTTGATGTGTCCTATCTTGGATAGGTATAACAGTGGATAGGGTGAAAAAGACATAATGGTATACAGTAAATGCAATGTGTAAAAACGTGTTTAATTGAGAAAGGCTCTTATGATGATTAAAAATTAGTTACACTGTATTTGACATACAACTTGATTATTTTAGCCCTGCTGCCCATGCTACATAGAAGCTGGGAGTTGTATAAACAATTGTGTCTGCTGCCTGGTGTGCAAATTGCACTGCAGTTGCCCACTGCTTTGGACTAGTAAGGGCATACAAGCTTTAGGAAGTGTTCTTCTCACTTCTGGAGCGGGATGGAGTTACACACAGAGGAAGTGGTGGAGAAAATCAGAATTTAGAAAGCTTCAAGAGAAGGTGTTTTTGGGCAGGAGCAGGTGTCAGTCCCCTCTTTCCTTGTGGTAATACTAAATTGAGAAATAAGAGTGTGACAGTTAAGATAGGGAGAAGGCAGTGAATGACCTTTTGTTTTATCTCTATATTATATCAAAGTGGTTATTTTACAGGAAAGTGCTTTAACAAAGATCACTGAAGAGATACAGGGGATCACTTATGCACTGACACTTTTTTTGTTATTGCGACAAGGCCGTTCACTGCCGGAATGTAACCAGTGTCGTCGCAAATTCATGGATGCAGCTCAGCTAAAGAAACATCTAAGAACACATACAGGTAATGTTGTACCTTGGGTTTTGTGGGGTTTGTGGTTTGTTTTTTCTCGAAGTTACATGGACAAAACTATTTTAGGCAAATTACACTTGTCTCTGTGGAATGAACTTCTGCTCTACTTGTACATAATGATGCCTGTGTTGCTAATAAAGAGATTTGACATCAAGAATGCAGGAGCACAAAAAAGCTTGTGTTACAGCAGCACAGAAGCAGTTCCTATTACAGGAAGAGGGCTTTTTTCCCCAGTTTTATAAAACCTGCTGCAGAAAGTGCCAGTAGCTTTCCCATCACAGAATCCTGGACTGGGAATTCAGTTTGCTGGGAGAGTTGTATTGAGCATGTATCAGGCTTGCAGTGAGCTGAGAAGCAACAGAAAGTGTGTGTCCTAAATGAGTTGGACACCTCTGTCTATGAGGATGGGTGCTTATGAAAAGTGCTGTGACCAGGAAAATAATTATTTCCATTTAGCTTTTACTGTGCCGTAATAAACCAGATGTTGAGAGGAGGTTGGCTGGGAGGGATGATTTAATGCAAGTGCGTCAGAGGATGTTTTAAGAGATTTAGAGGGCAGGCTGGTAATGAATCACTGGATAACAGAGATAAAAATGTTGATCTATCCTCTCATAATAGCAAGGCATAAACTTCATAAAATACTTCCCTTTGAAGAGTAAGTTCATAAGGTGACATGTGAATAATTTTGTCTTTTAGAGTAATTAGAAACAGTGGCAATTGTTTCCTCACAAAATCAAATTATTCTTAAGTGTGTTGTTTGCAGTTGTAATACATAACTCATTCTCAAGCATACTTTATCTCATTCATTTCCTTCTCTTTTCTAAGCGAAAAAGATTTAAATTTTCTGGGATATGCTGAGGTCAAAACTTGTGCTTCTGGGAGCTTTTAGTTATCCAGAATAGTGCTAGCCTGTGATACTTACATAATTTTGTATTGAGGAGAACTCAGTGTTGACACATGCAAGAGTTTTGTATCTGAAGCTGACAGAGCTCTCTAAATGTAGTGGGAAATGAGTTTGGGGTGGGAAATGAGAAGAGGAAGCTTACTAGCAAGGTAAGTTGCAAAAATATATGAGCTAAGCTGATTTTTAGCAGAAACTGCCTTGCAATATATTTTGCTACTACAAAAGACAGGCAAGATACCAGTATTAATTATGTAGAAATAATAATTCATCTGTCCCATCTCAAAAGCAAAGTAAAATTCCAAGGCATTTGGGGGACAGGTATTAACATAGATACAACTGTTCTCCTTTGGCAGCAGTTTGGTAACACTGTGTCATAATACAGTCTACTTGGGAAGTTACTCCTGTTTTCAGTAGCAAGCTGGGACTGGGTGATCAGAGGTCCCTTCTGACAAATGTTTCTTGTTCTCTCATCCTTTATCCATGCCCTCCAAATTCACATGAAAGCTGGTAAGCATTGCAGTTCTATGCTAAATGGGAAGCTTCCTTGGAAACTGGCTGCTGCCCAATCCCTGGGTTTGGTGTGCTTTGATGGTATGAATTACCACAGTGGTGATCTGGATTCTCGTGTCTGGTGTCTTAAAGAGCCTCAGTGCTACAAGGATTTGTTATGGTGTGAATTAGGATTTGTTTTGGTTGGGTAGTATCTGTTTCTTGTGAACCTTATAATTTAATTTGGCCTCTCTGCTTCTACTCAATTATACATCAGAATTCCAAATGCACTAAAAAAACTCCCAACAAATAAACAAAAAATCCCCATACAAACTCACATTTTATTTAACTCATGATAATTTAATTTTTTTCTAACTGGTGTTTCCAGAATATCATAGGCCTAGTGTGATGAAGCCTTATAGAAAGCTAGGCAAGTTGTTAAGATAATGGATTAATTTTCCCAAACTTTGGAAGTTTGGGCTTACTCACCTGGATGGTGCTGCATGTGAACGTGGCATTAATGCCAGGGTTCAGGGACAGCCTTTTTCAGAGCATTTCTGTTCCCTGTGGAACACCCACATCTGTGCCATAGGTACAGCTTTTTGTTGCTTTGGGGGCTTGGATCACCTAATTCTTCATCTTCAAAGGGTAGAAATGCTAGAAATGTCATACCCTCATTTTGACTACTGAGTTCATTCAGTTTTGGATATCTGCTGAACCATGGCAGAAGCGTGAGGAGCCAACAGTGTTCACTTGACACTGTGTATGGTAAAATACAAAATGTTTTTAATGAACTGATGAAAAGTGCTGTTTCAAAAGTGAAGTCACATTTCTTTTTGATAGGTGAGAAGCCCTTCACTTGTGAGATTTGTGGCAAATCATTTACAGCTAAAAGTTCACTTCAGACTCACATTAGAATTCACAGGTAAAGTATGTCTTATTTTCATTACATTCTTTTAAAATGTAATTCTACTCTTATAACTAGAAGTAGTGCTTGTTTCACTATAGAACAGTCAGGACTTGTTTGCGTTTTGAATGATTGTTAAAAACGTAACATTTTTGTTTAATCTATGTAAGGAAAAAATTGGTAGTGAAAAGTACTGAAGTCCTAAATGCTCATGTGCCAAGGTATTGTTAGTCTTCTTTGGTGTTTCGTGTCTGTTCACTGACAATGTACTTAACTGCTATGCTATTTTTGTGAAAATTTTGCTGTAGGTTTTGTTTGAGAGCTGAACAGTAGCCATGGTGTATCAAGGTTGTCCTGTTGCCCTGTGAGCTATCCTGTCTCTTTAACAGCATTAGTTGTCTTTTACCCCTGTCAGTGCAATGCATCGCGTAAGGACATGTTAGATTTTAAATCACTGGAGAACTGTTGTCTAAGAAAACATTTCCAGTAAATTTTTTTTCCTTTTGACGCGGCAGAAAGTTAGGATTTGAAAACTTCTTTTTGTTTTTAAGCCCATACTGTTAATGAATGTTCTTAAAATGGTCAGTGCTTAGAATTGTGCAAAGTTGTTGCATTCTTGTCAAGGTCTAGCAGCATGGAGCTTGTACCTCTGGTTTTATGAGAGGAAGGCAGTTATCTCTGTAGCTCTGAGTATATAACAGTTTGTGAAGTCAAATAGAGATAATCAGGAGGTCAAATAGAGGATCATTTAACACTACCCTTTAAGTACTTACAATTTAGAAAAACAATGTAATCATTTAAGTATTTTATTACAGAATAAGTTTCAGAAAGCAGCATTGTCAAAGTGAATATTTTAATGAGATCAAATTCTTTCCTTTTTCAGAGGAGAAAAGCCATATTCTTGTGATATATGTGGAAAATCCTTCTCCGATTCCAGTGCTAAGAGAAGACATTGTATCTTACACACAGGCAAAAAGCCTTTTGCCTGCCCAGAATGTAGTTTGCAGTTTGCTCGTCTGGACAACCTGAAGTCTCATTTGAAAATTCACAGCAAGGAAAAGCAGTTTCAGGAAGCCAGTGCCACCCCGAGCACCAACGCTCATCCGGAAGAAGTGAGAAACATTCTCCAGCTGCAGCAGTACCAACTTGCCACCTCGGGAGGGCAGGAAATTCAGCTGCTGGTAACAGATGCAGTACACAACATCAACTTCATGCCCAGCCACAATCAAGGCATCAGTATTGTGACTGCAGAAAATGCCCCCAGCATGACGACAGAGCAGGCTGCAAACCTTGCGCTCCTTGCGCAGCCGCCGCAGCAGCTGCAAAACTTGTTGCTTTCAGCTCAGCAGGAGCAAGCAGAACAAATTCAAAGTATCAATGTGATTGCAAACCAAATAGAGGCTGCCCAACCTGAACAAATGCATGTCATCACTCTTTCCAAGGAAGCGCTAGAACATCTCCATGCTCATCAAGGACAAAATGAACAAATCCACTTGGCGGGATCTTCGCATCCAGCTCAGCACGTGCAGCTGGCTCAGGAATCAAGTCAGCAGTCTCACTCTAGCCACAATACAGTTCCTTCCCATCAAGTCAGTGAAGAACAGAATCAAAGTGTACTTGTTTCTGAATCCCATCAGCAGCCTCTGTCAGTAAATGAGTCATCTCATGAGCATCCTATCCAAGATCAGGCTTTCTGAAATGCTTATAAGCAGAGGGCTAGGCCAGAAAATGCTTCTCATCCAAGCAGAGATTACACATCACACATGGGGTTTTTGCAACATAAGCTATCCAAAGATGTGTTTCTTGATGATTTTGGATGAGTGACTCAATTTCCTTAATGATATTTGTTTTAGACTACTTTGTTTTTCTGGATTGGTATTTCTTTACCATACTTAGTCTTCACAAGTATCTCATAAGCAATTAAAGGGCGGTTTTGTGCCTCATACACATCTCTGCCTCCTGAGGAGATATTTAGCCCTTATTTGTATTTCTGAGTGACTCTTCCGAGAAGTTCACCTGACTGGTAGGAGAACAATGTTTAGGACAACTGCGGATCACAAAGTACTTCTCTGACAAACTTAGCACTATACCTGAGCTGCTGTCAAGCGAAGACAACCAGTACTTTTTGCAAAGCTAACACCATATTTCTTATGTTTAATGAGCTTTCTCTCTGCAGGTTAATGTATAATTCTCTATGTAATCATTCCCTGAAGTGCATTATGAGTTACTGACTACCAAATTCATTTGGTTTGGGTTGAAACTGTTGCAGCCTTTAACTAGCCCCAAATCTTTCCTCCTGTTTACTATGTGCTGTATACATTTTGCTCCTCAGCAACATTTAAGCCATTGCACTTGAATATTGGCAATGAGATGTGATGGTTACACTGGAGAACTGAAACCCCACCGATTCTGCTCTGTTAGTTCTGCCTCTCATTCTCTGTGACTGTGGGCAAGGTAGTTGACCTCTGTGCCTTATTTCATCATCTAGCAAGTGGGGATAGTGTTCACACACTCTGCCAAGCACTTTGAAGAGCTCTTGATGTTGAAAGCACTGTCTGTTGAAGTGCAGAACCCTATTCCTGACAGGATTCTGTCTAAGCTTAGGAGCCACTGTATATTTAAAGTGTTATTTTTTGTACTTTTGAGAAAAGAACGTAATCTTACTTTAATATATGTTAAGACTGATAATTGCTTATGTGAGAATTCAAACAATGAAGAGCATCACTTCAGAGCATAACAAGTTACATAAATGGGGCACATCACATAAAGTTGTACAGCTATTTTTGGTGACTAAATTAGATGTGTACAGATTGTTTTCAATGACTGACTGCTAACAAAAAAAGATTTGACATCGTAATAAAATGCCTTGCCAAAATACATGCTTTCTGTTTTCAGGTTTGACTACTGGTAACACCTTTGCATTGGTGTGCTAAAATCCAGATAAAATGCCACTGTTACTTAAAAGAACATACTCAATTGTCATTTCAGCTTTAAATTGTCATACTTGTGATTTACATGGATGTTTTATGTTACAACAAACAAAAAATTCTAAAAAACGTGGTGAATTTAAAAGCAAAATTATCCACATTTTTTATAAAATCCTTTGTTCCAAGTCCAGACTACTTGGCCTGCTCCTGACTGCATGCTGCAGAAGTTTGGCTAAGTATCTCCATGTCATCAAAATACTGGATCACTTTTATATAAATAGATCATGATAAGGGTAGACAGTGGAATAAATATCATGATAAGGGTAGACAGTGGAATAAATCAAAAAAAAAAAAAAAAAAAAAAAAAAAAATCCAAAAAGTAACATCCCACAGCAAAGGTGTTTAGGCTTTTCACATTTCCTGTCAGAATGGAGAAATGAAATTTGCATCCATTCTGCTACCAAAGTGAACCAGAATATTCTGCAGTTCTGCCTGAGAAGCCTGAAGTCTAGGTGTTCTAAGAGCAGATAAATAAATATAGTAAAGCCTGTTACAACACTTATGACAATCTTGCTGATTAATTATATAAGCTTACAATAAATATTCTGGCAGTTTAATCCTAAAATTTCTGCTTTTATCTAAAACATTGTACAGTGCACCCAGACTGTCTGGTCATAAGTTTACAGGAACCTGCACAGAATTCATTGTCTGCCATATATCTGCGAATCCTGAAATGCTTAAAAACAAGTTACAAGCTAAATTCTGAGGCTACCAGAAAAGGAACTGTTCAATACTTTTCTTCTTTGAACTTTGTTTTGTTCATTGTGCAGTTATCCTTGCAGGGTTCAGTTCCATGCTGCAGTTAAACACGGGAAACTTCCACATACTGATTTCTCAGTGCTTTCCCTTTAACTAAAAAACCTGAAGTTTGGTGTTTGGAACTTTGTTTTGCTTTTCTGCAGATTACCAGTGAAGAAATGAGCTGCTGTGAATAGCAGGGCAATGACTAATCTTGCACCCTGCATTGCTTAAGCTGTCAGCACATATTGTAGCTTGCACTCAAGAAGCTGGCGTGGCTTCTCATATCAACAAATGTTGCTCTTTGGACGCCATTTGCTTTCTTTCTAGTGAATGCCTTTCTGTTAAAAGATGGAAATGAATCCTTTTTCTGTGTGTACATTTTTAAGGCTTCAGCTGAAGTCTAGGATTGCTTTGAATTAGAAAGGAAACCACTTCAGCTTTGTTTTTCAGTCCAGCTGCCACTAATAATGATTTAGGGAAAAAATGCATCCCTTAGAAACTATGTTTCAGAACAGCTCTCTAAATATCTTAACTCCTTAGCCAGTAAACACCTTAATTTCTCTTTTTCTCACATAGACTAATCCTAACAAATCCGTCTCGCTGCTTTCTATGTTAAAATGAGATTAAGGTTTTAGACGTAAATGCAGGGCAGTAAGAGGACTACAGAAAGATCTGGGTTTGTAAGCATTTAACACCATTATGTGTTACCTCTGCTCAATTTGTAAGTTACCCAGTGTAGTTGAACTCTAATAGGATCTCACTTTTTTTTTTTTCCCAAATGCACGTTTACCAGATTTTGGCTTTTTCTGAAGACTTTGGTTGGTTCTCCAGGTGCAAGTTGAAACAAATCCCCAAGAGGTAAAGCAAACACACTCTGGAGCCTGTATTTTCCTGTTGTGTGTGTAATTCCCCTGCTTGACTTTCCAGTCCAGCATCTTGGGTTTTGATAAATGAGTATCAGAGTATTTATTTCGTATGGGCTGTAAAAGCAAATTACCCTGCCAATAGGAAATGAAAGTGCTACTAGGGATTGTACAGCAATTTTCTCTTAGCATCTAAGAGGGAAAGGAGAGGATTCTGCCTCATGACAAACTCTTTCCAACTGAATGCCTATTCACAGGTTAAAATTAAGGATATTGAGCCTGGCATTGATCTTGCCAGTTGTTGAGGAAAGAGTTTTGCTTGCATTTCTTTGTTTGAAAGACTCGTTTCAGTGTTGTAGCTGGTTAGTCATCGTGGTGAAGGTCATGGTTGGTGTTTGCTAATACCTATCCTGGTGTGCTTGGATGTGGGGTTTTATAGTCTTTTCCCACTTCACCTTAACTGTGGAAGCTAGTACGGGATTCATTCCTAATCACAAACCCTGTGCCTGTGTGAGCACAGCAGCTGGGTACGTTTCCTGTCTCCCTGTGTCTCCCAGTACCCTGTGTGAGTATGGTTATCCCAGAGAAGCGAGTCTGAGCTGGGAGTGCCTGGGAGGAGGCTGGTTTGCACAGCGGGCGTGCCCCGGCGGGTGGGAGCAGCCAAGGCTCCTTCCTGGGCATGCTTATCTTCACATGGGCAGGAGTCCATCCATGCAGGCCTTTTTCCTAGTCCTTTTGAGCACTGCAGGTTCTCACTGAGAGCAGAGAAGGAAGAAGTAATGCCTACTCTCAGAGCTATGATTTCAGGACCTGTTTTACTTAGTCATTAGAGACTAATTAAAGAGTCTGCTTCTTGCAGAGTTGCAGTCCCATGAGCTACAACAGTTCTCTATGTTCTATCCCTTTTCAGATCCTCTGTAAAACATGGTGAACAATAAATGGTTTTCCACAGCTGAGGGACTACTGATCATATCTGTTCCAAGCAATTCTTCCAAATGGAAAGACCCATCTAGGCATATTCTCAGCATCTCACTGTAGTACGCTTACTGGTCATTTCTGGCTAATATTTTAATCCTATCTAATTGAAAGTATCTTTGGAATAGCAGGAAGCAGACTTTTGCTTTAGTTAGCAAACTTCCTACCCTGTCCTGCAAATTTTTCTGGCATGAGGAAGAATTTCCCTGTGTGAGTGACTGAATGTACTGCAACACATTGCCCAGAGAAGTTGTGGAGTCTCCCTCACTGCAGGGAGAACTGTCTAAACAAAATCCTGTGCTGTGTGCTCTGGGATGACCCTGCTTGAACAGGGAGGTTGGACCAGATGACCACTGTGGCCCCTTCCAACCTGACCCATTCCATGATTCAGTGATTTTACTTGCCCTTCACCAAGATGTCTCTCGGTGACCCCTAGCAGCTCTGCTTTAGTACCATCATGTAGGAGTCTCTCTCAAATACATGTGTATGTGCTTATGTATAATTTTTTTTAATTAATTTTGTCTGCTTTCTCTTCTGCTTCTCAGTTTTTTTCAGATGCTATTTTGGACTGGAAGGAACTGAAACAGCTGCAGCTGCACCAGGTGGAGAAGTTTGGACCAAGAAAACCCTCTAAGAATCACACAGAAGCAAAACTCTTGGGTCTTATGTCAGGGTGTGTGTGCATTCTTCAAAGGACTTCAAGTTTCCAAGAGCATTGCTGCACAACCTTTGAAAGGCTTTCAGGGTCGTTGTTTAAAGGTGCTGCACAACCTCGTGTGCTTTCCATATTTTCCTTTGTGGTAATTGTTTTCCTCTCTGAACTGAATCATAGCACATCTGCCACAGCTGGCAAGCTAATTCACATCTAACTATTGCCACCCACAGAACAGCTATCCTCATGTGAGTACTACAAACAGAACAATATCATGTTGTCATAAAGAGGTAATAAATAGAGTCTAAAATTAATATTAGTCACCCAGTTCAGGATTTTAATATGTCATTTTCATAATTGGTAACCTGCTGAATGGAATTTAATGCACCTGAATCACCAAGTGGTGAGAAAAGAAGTGGAGAAATAAAAAGCAGAGTAGATTGAGACAACAAGTAATTGGTGGTTCTTGGCATGCTCTTTTTATAAAAGAAACCCAACATAAATTTTCAGAAAAATAGTCCTCTTACACTTTTTAGGCTAATCATTGATTTTCTTTTTTATTTTTACTGTCAGGTGACTATTATGTTTATAGTTATTTCCCTTTCTTGCCCACAATGACAGTAAGAATGTCTAGAAATTATCAGTTTAAAAAAAAAGTAATTTTTTTCAAAGAAAAAGGATTAATGGGAGCCAGTCCTATGTATGTGCAGAATTAAATTTCAATAACAGAATTTCTTGTGTGTAAATTCAAGCACATTGACAAAATGAATACATCAATCTCAGGATTTTTTTTAAAAATTATGTGTAGTGGATTGCTCTGGGTTTAATCCTTAAATGCTGTGCTGCAAAAAGGAGCAAAGAGATGTTTCAAAAAGCCCAATAAAATTCAGTTGTATTAATCTGTATCAAGGTAAAAATATGGACGTAGGGAAGAATAGATAGCCAAGACAGTATTTTCTGAAGCTGATTTTATATTTGACTCTGGGTATGCTGCTTCTGCTCTGGACTTTACATACGGCTGCTATAGACTTTTTTTGGCTATAGCAAAAGCCATATGGTCTGGCTACCAAAATTAGATTCTGCTTAGCTTACAGCCTACAGAGGCTCCAGCAGCTGTGCTGCCGACCTTTGAGAGGGGGAAGGAAAGGGCTTTCCTTTGCATCACTCAGTCACAGCCCGCAAAACATCCTTGCATTTGCATGTGCTGCTTGCAGTTACCTACGGTCACACCTCAGCTCATCTGCTGCCACCCAGGACCTGGCTGTGAATTAAAACTGCCTTGTCTTACCATTTTAAGATGTTTCCTTGTCCAAACTGTTTTGTCTGCCTCATTTTTCTGCATTTTTTCAGCAGGAGAACATCATCACATGAAATTATAATATCTTGTGCATGGATCTTTCAGGCAAGGGAGCAGCTGTGGTAGCTAAACATTGAGAATCTGGTCTTCTTTAGTCTCTGATATTGTGAGGATGGAGCTCTTCAAATGCAGCAATGCTGCAAATCCCAACAAACTCTTAAAAATGCATTGCCTTAATGAATCACTGTAGGAAACTACCACTGAGCCAGACCGGAGAGACTTCAGGGCTACCTGGAGGAGGCCCATCTGCAACCTGTGATTTCTTTCTCAGTCTGGGTTTTTTATAGACACTGTAATTTAGCAACACTTAGCTCAGACCTTTTTGGTTCTCACTCTGTGGTTATGTAAAAATGTATCACTTTATAAAGCCAGTGGGATATACAGTTGGGGGAAAAGTGCACATTGTTATTAAAATGAGAAATCTGTTTGTTTGGGGTTATTTTTAATTCAACATAGGTTTGTTCTGCATGAAAATCACAACCGTCTCATCTGCAACAGGACTTTGACACGTGAAAGTTCAGAGATGAAAAGTGACCTGACCCCGCTGTGCTGATGGAAGCCTGAACTGAACCTGCAGCTGTCCCACAAAGCAGCTTTTGCACATGCTGCATGAGCCAGAAGAGAGCAAAGCTGCCGCGGTGGCACAAAGCTTTGCTGTGGGAGCCGCGAGCCCTCTGGAACTGCTCCGTGCACGCGCTGCCGGCGGGAATGATGTCTCAGCAGTGCCCAGCAAATACAGCTGTGGGTAGGAGTTTCTGCATCAAAAGGAGGCACACACTTTACACAGGGTGTAATTAAGCTGTAAATCTCATTGCCGCAGAAATTTGTGGATGCCAGACTTTCACATTTCCCTGAAAAGCAAAGAAATTCAAATGGAAAAGAGCTGCCAGGGGGAATTAAACACAGAGATACCAGGAATCCCTTGAGCAGGGGCTCACTGGAGGCTGGGAGTGGAGTGGGGAAGCAGTTCTCTCATGTTTGCTTTTACTTACCACTTTTTGCTGGGCAATTGCTATTAGCAAGAGTCTCTTCATCCTTTAAGTATTACTGACAACATCCATCAAGAGCTCTGAAAAGAGCTGGCTTCAGTCCTCTGCTCTGCCACATGCTTTCTGTGTAACCTGCTTTTCCTTCCTTCAGGGGAAAACAGAAATTGGAGCATTTTCTAACCTCCCACAGGGTTGAAAACTGCTTACATTAGGCTTGGGAAGTGCTTAGAAATGCAGGGTAGGGTGTGGGCTGGTGTCTGGTGTTGCCGTGGAACTGGGCCCTGTTGACAGACTCAAACTCAGGGTGGCCAGACTGCCACGGCCGCACGGTGGATGCCGATGGCAGTGATGGTGGTGGGGCTGCTCCAGCATCTGGTTTTCCATGTGACCAAATTTATGGCAGAGGTGACCCCTTGGGCTTCAGCCCCAGCACAAGTTTGGAAGCCGCAGGGAGTGGTGAGGGCTTGAAGCAAATGAATAAAATCTATGTAGTCCATAAAAGCAATCTAATATTAAGTTTGCTACTGTAGAGGACTAAGATAACTGGACTATGTCTAAACAATGTAGCAAAACCAGACATTAAAAAAAAAAAAAAAAAAAAAAAAAGAAAATATCAGTTTTCCTTAGTGCCTCATTCAGCTGAGCAGGAATTTCACTCTTATCAATTCTCCTTTCTTAGACAAGTTAGTGGCCTTAACTTACCAAAAAATGACAGCTGGATTTTCATCCTTCTTTCTTCTAACCTTACTCCCTCTGACAGATGCCCTTCTTTGGGGCACTGCTTCCGTGGCTCAGCGCTGCCACTGCCATAGCTCTCCCAGCAGGAGATGCTGGACCTTCTCAGAGCAGCAGCAGTTAAGCACACTGCAGGAAATAATTAATAGAGAGACTGTCTTCTGGAATGGAAGCAGGGTTCCGCCCAAAGGTCTGTCAAAATTTCAGTAGTGAAACAAAGATGGAAGCAGTTGTTCCCCCAGGCTGATGGGCAACCCACATCTCTGACCTCAGCTGAGCTGCTCACTGAGAGCCCTGTGACAAATGCCTGTGATAACCATGGTCTCTGATGCTTACTTTTATCTACCCTGCAGATACTATAACTGGAAAGGGAGATGAAGGAGAGTCAGTTGATGGTCCTACTTTTGAAGGTATGTTTCCCCATCTATCTGACTGTGCAAATGGTGAATTTCCACAAAAATCAAGTTGTTGATCTGATCTTATTCACATAACCTGGGAACTGCTTTTCATCTCCCTTAAAGCAAAAGGTTTGGTTTTCAGTCAGAATTATAATCTGCTTGTATTAGCAGAAGAGACTGCTTTAGTGAAAACACTTTTTGATCTGTCACCTTGTCTCTGTCCTCTTATGTTCCCTATCTGAGGCTCAGCTCCACCAGCCCCTTGTCCTTGCCTAAATGAGGGATGATGGTCACCCACTGCCTATTTCAAATACTCACCTTTGTGGACAGGACCCTAGAAATGCAGAAGTAGATTAGCTACAGATCTCCAGGCACACCTACCACCTGTTTAAATGCTTTTAAAGTAACTGAAAAGTCAGCTTTAACTCTAGATTTCCTGGACCTCAGGCAACTTCTCAGGCTTGGGCAAGCATTAGGCATTGCTGCCAGCAGCCTCAACTCTGTGGGTGGAAGGGGACTTCTGAGTCTCATAAAACCCTGAAAGTCGAGAAATTACAAACATGACCTAAATTTAACAGAAAATGTTCCCTCATACTGGCATAAAGTAATAAAATGTAAATAAAAAAAGAACATTCTAACTTCTAACTTAAGAAAAACAACTCATATAATTGACATAAGCATTTGGGATTTTCTGTTTAGATTAAATGCTACCCATTAAGACATTTTATGACAGTTAAAGCACTTTTGAAAATTATTTATGCTCCCTTATATAAAAGCTTTCCCACTGGCAATGTTGCAAACCGTTTGAGCAGGCTGGGCAGCAGCCAGCGCTGAGATCAGAAATGCCAAGTGCAGCTGAAAAGTTTCTTTCCCAAGATGCTGAAGAGTCTGCCTGTGAGGAGAATCTGCTCTCACCTCAAGGTCTCAGGTTGGATGGAGCAAAATGTAGTAGCACTGGCAAGCAGGAAAGCTGCTGGAGGTGGAAGCCTGGTGTGTGGGATTTAAGGCACTAAATGCTATGAGCTTCTTGGAGTGGAAAGAAAAAGGCAAAAGTCACTTCTTTGATGCTGGAGCTCCTGGAACAGGAGCAAGCCCAGGCTCCCAGGGCATACTTATCTCTGAGAACAAAACATGAGCTGGTATTGGAAAAAAAACAGGACTGGCTGTTGAATTGTTTCCAAGGTGGGTGTCACCAAGGACTTAAAATTTTATGAATCCTCTTTTCCAATGATGTTATCCAATGTATTTGTGCTAGACCCCATCTTGCACCTTTTGCACCTTCTGTTTGGGTAAAAATTGTCATTTTTAATGACCCATAGATTTACTTGATTTACACATCAGGTAGAAACAAGTTTGCGTGTACCCAGGGGAGCTGTGGCAGCTCACATGAACTGTTTGACTACAGCTCCATCATCCTCCTCCAGGAGGATGCTTTCCCTGTGCTACTCAGGAAAGAAGCTGCCATGTCGTGTGGGAAGGAGACAATATACCAAAAACTGCTTCAGTAATTTTAAGGTGGATTTCATTTGGAATCCGTCAACCTTGAACATGTCCCTGCAAGAGTTTTGTTACCCATATTGCACATAGTCCATGTGTTGATGCATTAAAGGAGGAGATTGCTACTTGCTCTCCCCCTATTTAATTAGAAGTTGCTTTCCACCCTTAAGAAAGGTGTTCCCTTCTGTATGCCTTTCTATTTTAAGGCTTAGATTGCTTTCCCGATACTTCCCGCAAACCTACTTTACCCTGAGGGCAGAGGACAAATAACTTCGATATCTGAAAAGGGTGGGAGATGCCTCTGTCAGCCAATAATATTCTGGGAGATTCCATGCTTGGCACGTGTCTGGGCACTGCAACCAGCACCTGCTGGAACTAATGGGACACAACCTCATTTTACTGTAATGGGATGAAAGGACAGAGGCAATTGCACAGAACTGCTGGTATGGGAGCATCGTGTCAAAGGACAAAACATCCCACTCCAAAATTAGTCTGCTGGAGTAATTTTGCAAGCCACAAGGCAGCAGCCAAAGTAACTGTTCAGTTAAAATTTAACTACTGTTTTTATGAATCATTTTCTGAGAAAGGATCTCAAACAAAGCAAGAAGAATAAAAAAAATCAGAGAAAAAATCTAAATATTTCTTCACTTTCCTTAAAGCTTGTTGAGAACTTGATGGGGCTCTTGACTGCTCAGTGTGATCCGGTCAGATGGTGATGGAGGATGACAGGATCAGTGGATCCCCTGCTCCCCCCCACCAAAGCCAGGCTCCTCTCTACAGAAAAGGAAGTCAAGTCCTTGCCATGATCCCCCAAGCCCAAGCACACCTAATGCTTGCTTCTCCCCAGTCATTACCCTTGAGAGTCATTTCTTTTCTCTCTCACAAATCCTTTCCCAGGCAGAGTGGAGGATCCTCTTCACCTCCTCACAGCTCTCACTCCCATTGCTTGCTTCCTCTCCTCACCCTGGAAAAAATCTTCTACTCTAGGAGCACTCTGGCCTCCTTGACTCAGTATCTGCCCTCCATTTATTCAGCTCTGTCATTTCATTTAGATAAAGAAGTATCCTGCCCGCCCTCCTGTGCAAGTTGCCAAGGGCTGGGAGCAGCTGTGTATCCCACCCCAGCCAGCCATGTCCCGCCCTCACAGCCCTGACTGTGCTCACAGGAGCCTTGTCCTCTGCCACTGGCAGTGGCACGAAGGGAGGCAGAGCTGAGCCTGTGCTTGGAGCATCCCCTCTTCTTCTACCTTCCTCATCCGTACAGTGGCAGCAATCACAAGCAGCCATAGGGAATTGCCACGATCAGTATCTTGAGCTACTCTGGTGAGAGTCATTACAGACCAACAACAGAGATCCAGAGTGCTTTTTTATGGGTACATTTTCATTAGCTTCTTTACTTGCTAAAAAATGGATTTAAACCAGGCTTTGCTGGCATAAGACTCAGTGAAAGCTCTGAGGGAAAGGAAAAAGGTGAGTGTGAAAGAAGGAAAGGGAGCTTGAGGGAGCTGGTACAAGGGACTTGTACAGTGAATAGCAGCAAAGGGAGCACCACAACTGCAGCCCTTCATCCCCCAACTCCTTCCCTAGATGAAAGCTTCTCCATCTATCACAAAGCAAGAGGAATCCCCGGGATGGCCAACAAGAGTCACCATAGGAATAGTTCACAGTTCCACATCACCTTCTGGCCAGCTCCCCACCTGGACAAGAAATATGTTACTCAAGCAAGAAAACCCTATGGCAAAACCAAGGAAGCTGCCAGGGCATCTCCAGGACCACAGGTTACAAACTCGTGGCTGCAGAGCTCAGTGTCAGCTCAAGGTGGGCCCTGACAGACAGGGAGGTGTTTCCCAAAACCTCCAGGCTCTGCTCTGCCCTCACAAGCTGAAAAACCTTGTTTTAGCAAATGCAGACTGGAAGTTTGTTCTCACTAGGTTAACATAAAGGACCAGCCTGTTAAAATTTTTAGATTTTCAGGAATGTAATAAACAAGAATATTGCTTTGAGCAGTTTGCTTGATGGAAGAGAACAAAATATTTAAGCATTAACACAGAGAGAACAATTCATAGTGTTGTTTCTATGTTACCACACCATGCAGAAAGACAGCGTCTTTAACAGTAGCAAAATAGCATAACTTTCAAACCTACAGAGAACAAACCAAAAGCTGCATATATTCACAGCCAGCGACATTCACTTCAAGTTGCTGCCTTGCCACTGGCTCTGTGCAATCTGAAAGGTGTAGGATCCATGACCTTATAGCCAGGCCCTCCTAAAACTGAGTGGGAATTTAATCCTGAGGAAGCAAAAAGAAGCCACAGTGTACAACAAGGACAGCCAAGCAGTTTCCAGGCTCTGCTCTGTTCAGATTTTCTGATGTCCCCACTTGGACAAGGGATGCCTGCAGCATCCTCCTTGCTTGGTACCACTCTGCTGGATGGGGTGGGGTGGGACACGGTACAAAGCTTTATGGAGCTCTGCTGGCATCCATCGCCGTGCCGGCGCCTGCAGGAGGCACAGCTTGTCCTCCCACAGCGTGGGAGAAGGACAGCCTGAAAATCACAGAGATCGCAAAATGTTGGACTGTTTTCAGGATTCAGATTAGTGCTGTGAAGGAAGGAAATAAAGGATATTTTACAAGGAGTCACTTCTAATACTGTCACTACTCACAGTGTCTCCTGACTTAATCTCAAAAGTACTGGCCATTTGTAGCTGGGGCACATGGAACAGCACATGCTTCTTTAAATAAATGTAGCTGCATAAAGCCATAGTATTTTCACCTCTCCTGAAATGCCAACTGGAGGCTACTTAATCAAAAACTGACAGCATTCATTGTGAAGAAGAACTTTCTAAAGAGCGTAGTGAGAGCAGCCTGTCAGTGGGAAACAGGTGCCTGGGTTTTAATGGCCTCACTCAAAACAGAGGCTGCAGAGCTTGGCTTTGGATGGAGATGGATCCCATGGGCACTTTCTCCCTCCTGTCGGCAAGTGGTCAAGGACATGGAGATCCTCCAAACACTGGAGGCTGTACCTACATATAACAAAAGGCCTACAGTAGCCTGCAAGATAATTAACTGTGGGACCTTCAATTCGTAATTCCCAGATGGTTTTCCTGCCCTGCTGTAAGGCAGAGCATTATTTCCCACACAGCTTTTTACAGACCATGATGACTTTCACTTACAGCAAAAATAAAACCATGTCATCTAACACATATGAATTGTTTGGAAACTTTTTTTTTTTGCTTAAAAAGAAATGTTCACAAGGTGTCAAAAAGTATTTTTACAGGAGAAGAGAAAAAGACCTATGAACATATCTCAGTGCACCTAAAATTTATGGGAAATAGTATTAACATGATTATATAGTTACAAGCACTGATATGATAAAATGACATCTCAGACAAAAAACAAGAAAAAAATGTTTGTAGGACTGTGGCCTCAGTGAAGGCCAAACATTTGATCCTGCTCTGACTACTACAAATTAAAAGTAATGTCCTTGAAATCAGGTTGGGCTGCATGAGGTTAAAACCAGGAAATGCTAAAGCAGGCAGAAGATTTAAGTAATTATTTATAGCAGATGGTCTCAATTAAAAAAAAAAGTGACTACTGCCACTGAAACAGAGAAAAATATTGTTTATAAAGTTATTGCAATACTGTTAAGGTTATGTTTGGGTGTAAATACAGAACCCAAAATGACTGCCAGTGTCAATGATTTCTTGCATGCAAGATCTCTCTGACATGCAATGCAGAGCTGGTGCATGGATGGCTCCAGGGGAGCATTAAAAGAAGAGAAGGTGTGTCTAAGATCAAAACGCAGGCTGGAAAGACAGGCCATAACCAAGTGCACTGGAGGTTCAAAGGAAAGAGCACTCATTTGTGGAGCTGGGATGCAAACACGAGGCTAAACCAGGCCTGCTGTGCCAGGGCAACCTGGACTCCATCAGAGTGCAGCTCTCCCACCCCAATTCCCAGCTCTGCCAAGAGTGCTGTGCTGAGTGCCCTTTGCTCCTGGGCTCACTGCATGGGCTGCTAAACCTCACAGCGCAGCACCAGGGTGAGATGGGGAAGGCTGAACTAGGGAAGTATTTGGAGAGACCTGATTTTGTCCGAGCTTAAGTGCGCAGATTTCATGAAAAGTAATGACCTTAAGTTTACTTGCTAAATGGGAACAAATTTAGCAAATCAACAAATGTTTAACTGAATGCCTGAAGAGGGCATAGCCCCAGAGTGATCTCCAGAGGCTCTGAGAATGAAGATCGTGTTAATTTTAGCAAGGTTTTTCTTTAGTAATGCTACAAAACAAGAAGATTATTTAACCTAAAACATCTTTGTATATCTGCAGCCAGCTAAGAAGCCTGTAACACATTTCATCCTTCCATTTTCTGAAGCATTCTGCAAACTATACACAGATTATTATATAGGAATTAAATCTTCTGTAGGAACACTTCAAATCAATCTGCCTAGAGAGTAATTTTTTTCACTTCATAGTTCTGGGTTAAATATTAAAATAGACTGTGATATTTTCTTCATAAAACCCCACATTTCCTGACAAATTACTTTTTGTAAGTAGTAGAGACTACTGCTATGAAATAATGTAAGTAATAGAGACTACTGCTATGAAAAGATATGGTTTGGCATACTCAGTATTGAGACAGAGGTTAGTGGCTCTTATTTCTTGCAAGAATTTTAAATTATATTCAGATGTTTAAAGTTGGGAAAGCAATTTTAGTTCTGAAGACTATCAGAGGACGATGTTAGGAGGCCAGTTGATTGATTTTTTTATTTGCTGTTGGTTTGGTCACCCATGGCAGGTCCGCTCTGTGGCTGGCACCCCAGTGCCTCCAGTGTTCCACAAGAGATCAAAGCAGAACACAGTATATGATTTGAGTCCAAATGACCTGATCTGAGCAGATGTCAGAGCCCAGAAATTCATTCTCTGGCAGTAGGCAGTGTTCAGGAACTCTGAGGGCAGGCAAATGCCTCATCACATCAAGTAGCAGAAAGCTGATCCTGTGCCAGAAGTCACAGACCTGGTGATAAAGATGATGGCTGGATGTCCAGCTGGATGTCATACAGACAGGATCTAGGACAACAGTGCATGGGAACTGGGCAGGGGACAGCTGGCTGAAGTCACACCACATGAAAAAAGTTATAACGAGAAGAGAAGGGTACAACCAGGAAATATTTTGAATTTCAGACACAACAATTCTTCAGGCAAACCATAATTACTGTATTTGCATTGGTCATGGCAGGACACTCTGCCAGGAAAAAAAAAAGCATGGTAAAATCTTTCATCCAGTATTAAGAGGTCACCTAAAGAAACAAGTGCATCTTTCAAGCCTGGTTCCCCAGTGCCTGCAAATTGGAGTCCAAGGCTATGAACAATGAAACAGAAATGGAATATTCATCTTAATCCAAAATGATGTTTTGTGACATATTTTCTGCTACAACTTACATCTCTGGTCAAGCCACTAGGAATACAGTGCTGCCTCTCAGAGTGCCATACCTGAGAAACAGCATGCACAAGCATCCAGAGGACATGCAGGTTCAGAGGCAAGCCACAGGGTCTCCACAAAGTCACGAAATTCAGGGGCGGTTGGCAAATGGGGAGGTAAAGACTTTCATTGTCAGCTGCTGGGTTTGGAGAAGTTCCCTTCCCAGC